AGACAACGCTGTCCCCGCAAGATCGGGAGAGGATGCTATACTACTATGCCAGTAAGACAATTAATTTTGCATGAACCAACACGAATGCTGAGATGATGATAGGCCTCTTTCGTATGGGGCCTTGGGTACTGCTGCTTGTCTCATTCCACCGTGCCATATTACAACGCACTGCTCCAATAATGTACGCATTATTGTACACATTACCGTATTGTTTACATGTCTAGTGTACGCATTCATGTGCTGTAGATAGCTAGATATTTAATGTGGGCTATGCCAGGCTTAATGGCTCCGGTCTTTCGGTTCAAACAGGGCGAAGGAATTTTCTTTGCATGTTCGTCCCATAAGGCCGATGGATCACATGTGTTAGTGTACCGGTATTATATCCTCGCTTCGGTCGGGCTTTAAAGCTAAAGTCCATTTTAGGATCGGTTCGCGGCCGGGCCACGCGGGAAGGAAGACCTAAAATCTACTATGTATCATCTCGATCCTGGCGTGGACGTCTAGCACCTCTATTTACGGAGGAACTAACAGGAAATTCCATAGCTACAGGTCCTAGTGTGAAGGCTTTGGTGTGTCATGGAAAGCTGTTGCATAGCACCGGCGCGCCAATACCATAAGTATGTATCCTATGCTCTTAGTGTGGTATACTGTACTGAATGAAACCGGTGGAAAGCTGATGCGCAATGTCAACAGTCGAAAATATCGTTAATTTGATATGGGGCATGTCCCCACTCGCCTCGACATGGCATTATTGCTTTCCGAGGCTTCATGGCGTCTCGCCGGGAATTGGAGACCAGAACGAGGTCTCCGGTCAAGGCGTTTGCGACCATGATGCCTATTTGTAGCCTCTGTAGACGTGAAGACGACTTATATCAGCTGTTTGTAGGGTACCTAGATAGCCGAGGTGACAGTGACAGCATTAAGAGAACGCCCAGTAAGAGAAAGATTACATACTTAGTAAAGAGCAAGCTGACATTTGGTGAGCTTGTAGTGTACATAACATGCCTCTCCACTTCGGGACACTTTTTTTTTTCTTCCTCCTCTTGGTTCAGGGGTGTGGTTACTCACGATGAACGCTTTTGGCGCCGGGCTGCAGGCCTAGGGATAGACTAAGTGCCTAGGTAGGTAAAGCGCCAGGAACAGAGACATCATTGGCCCGCGGGTTTGCAGGCTGATCCGAGATGATGGAACTTGCAGACCAATAGGAACCGGGGCCCCTGCAGATATCTGCACACCCTTGCAAGGCAGGGGTGTGTGTGCAAACAAAGAAGAGGGGTACTTGAAGTCTTCGCACCGGGAGCACTGTATCCAAAACTGTGCTGCTCGCTCTACTCTACATAATTAGTACATAGTAAGAGACCGAGACACTGATGACTCTATTGAGAAGCCTGTCCTGTCTTGTACGCTACCTAGAAGTACTACCTATTGGCTGTTAGTGCTAGCCTGATGAGCTGGATCTGCCATCACGATACTCTTAAGTTACCTATCAGTAGGTTTGTAGTGTAGGAACCTGCATAGCAGGCCTCTGCTTAGGTACGCCCTGCAATTACATTCTCATGTCCGAAAGTGACTGTGGGATTGGACGAATTATTTTGTCATGAATCCTCCACGCGAAGGACAGCAGCTGACATGAAGAGGAAAAGCAAAGACAAGAGAAAGGGGAAGTGTTCGAACACACGATAACTGGCTTCTTGGCTTGATTCACGGCGTGACCAACAGCGTGATCGATGGCCTATGACGTCGCGAGATCGTGCTTCGCCCGCCATATTGGATTATTGCGACAAACAAGAGCTACTGTCGTGTAACAAGCAGCAGGGAACTAGGTTATTAAGTACAAGATGTCTCGGGGGCAAATTCAGTTTGAAGCTGGTTCAGCTTTCAGCGCAGCAGAATGGGGCAGAATGGAGATACTGACTTGACTGGCTGATATAACTTAGAGCGTCTGGAGTGACATGGACACCAACACACAAGACAGGAGAATTTATTCTCAGCCATGTCGTACTAGGTATATATATTGTCCGAGACGGCGTAGGTAGGTGGTGAGGTAGGTATCACGATGGTCTTGTCTTGTGCGCATTAGATGTGAGCCACAAGAATTTACATTACATTGTACAGGCAAGCGTCTCTCAATTGCTACCTCCACTACCTAGAGTACTACCTATGTTATGTGGGTACTGGTTAAATTGTCGTCCTAGGTAGGTAAAAAGAGGCCCCGAAATCCGTCAGCTGCACATGGTCGACAAGGACCGACGGAAGATCGTCTCGGGGAAGATTATTAGCCAACCATAGCTTTGGGAATGATGTTTCCCTCGCCAGTCGGTAATGGCAGCTGCCACGTTTATTGGAGTGGAACGTCTCCTTTGGTCCACTCTCTAGACTTTACGAAGTGGGCTTTGGGCGTGCCCAGAGGAAGACACTCCAACAGCTTTCATGGTCGATGTCCTCTAGGCTCTAGCGGAGCCTCAGCTCGGGGGAGTCCTCCGTACCTTAATTATAAGTAGGATCTTTCGATAACGAGTTGCGTCGAGGTCCCTACACTTTTTGTAGTGTACAGATGCAGTGTGTCGGTCCTTTTGGGCATCCTCCCTTTTGTTCATGTTTTACACAATGTCACATACTGGTACATGTACGTCCTATCACCTAAGACCTGAATACATACCTACCTACTATGTAGGTTATTAAGTATGCGTCCTCGACGGCAACTTGCATCATCTAGCTGGTACTCTGCTTGGTTAGGTAGATACCCGTGTGTACATAGTAGGTTCAAGATTTGATAGATCCTATACTACTGTGCGTCACGTAACTAGATATATACTTATGTTATAGCCGATGCTGTAGGTTATCGAGAGAGAGATCAATGTACGGGTAATTTAGATATATGTGTACCTAGGTAGGTATTGTAGGTGGACATTTGCAGCTGCCCCTATTATCTGGGGACACGCCCCCCCGGCCAAGGCGGAAGAGCGACCGACAGCTGGAGGAACGAGATACCGTGCGAGCTTTTAGCAGTGTATAGCACACGTAGGACTGTTCAACACCTACCGAGGTGCTTTGTACATAGGTAGTAGTGTAGATACCTCCACCTATGCTTGACCAAACGTTCACAGGAATAATCTGCAGTCCATGTACATGCCCTCAGAATCATATCAGGTACATGTATGTGTTTGTTGCAAATAGTGTCTCTCTCTAATATTGTCAGAACGTCCAAAGAAGTTTTCAAGAGTGGGAAATGGTGCTATCATTTCTAGGTCATGTACCTAAGTCCCCACGAAAGATACAGATGTAGATAACGGCGCTCCTCCAGATCCATCGATGACACTGCGCACTATCTAAGACATGGGCCCCAGACCCATGGGCGCCTTCATTTCCCCTGGTCGGGCGTTCCTTCTCCGTACTCATCACTACTATAGATGTACTATAGTATGTGCTTATGTATGTATGGTACGCAGAAAATCTACGTATCCTTAAGCAAAACACTGCATAAAGCATCTGTACGTCTTTATACATTGAGGTAGGTAAACATACCTACATGTAGGCATATCGATGATGTAGGTAGTAGGTACCTACTCAGCTGTGTGTTATGTTCAGGTGCTATGTGGTAGCGGTAGTGTACCTACATTAGGTATCTATCTTAGGTACTTCAAGTGCATCTGGTAGCGTAGATAACCCCTGGAAAATCCCTACTTAGGTACCTACTGATGTAAATATCTACCTAGGTACTTACCTACCTGCCTACAGAAGGTTTACACTACTGCACAGCACAGGCTGCACAGAACACTGCCTAGACTCGCCTACCCGCTAAGCAGGTACAGATTGGGTTAAGGATATTCTCGTCAATTGCTCCTGCACTGTCTGGCATGTCCTTATCCTGGGCTATCCTCCCCGTCTCTCTTCTCTTGCTCTTCTTTTCATATCGAGACCCGAGGATTTACTCGAGGACCATTCATTGCTTGTTGTCCACCGGCTGAAATCACGCTCTTTTCACCCCTTCAAACCGGCACAATCTTCTCACCTTGTTCTGACTCTAGTCGTTCACTCTACCGAGATAGCCTCTGCGCAACACAACTAGCGAACTCGCTCGCACATCCACAGCCAAATCAACACGGCCTTTCCGTCCATTCTTTTTCTTAGCCCCGAGCCACTTGATGTGCGCAAATCGAACGCCACTAGATTTGGCAGACCACGTACCATAGAACGAGAGAATAGTCTTCCAACAGTCGCGAGAAAGAGAATCGAATCTCCCTCCTGATCACTACACGCCGAGCCAGCTCTATAGCAACTCCCACATTTTTCAAGTCGAGCCCCAGGCCTCAGCTGGCACAGCATCGAATCACCGCATTTACCCATCTGCAGCCAGCCTATTGTGCAGGAACCGTTGACACCCCGTGCAATACGACCGGACCATAGCAAGCCCAATAAAAACGCTCGTCTACCATTCACGATACAAACCCGCGAGCTTATTTCTTCTTGTGGTCAATGACAATTAAATTATATCCGCATCCGTATGTTCTATCCAACCAACGCCTTCACATTCAAAATGTGAACCCGCCCTTCAAATCCCCTCGATTGTATGATCCCCGTTTGCACATTGCATTGCTTGGCTCTGTGGTTAGTGCCAACAACACTAACCTGGTTCTTTGCCTTTGAAACACACCCGGCACACAATCTGCACCGCATTCCTGGCTCAAGTGACGCTGCCTTTTGGCACGACCTTAATGCACCGAAACATAATTGGCGATCCCGTGCAAGCGGATCTGTTTGTCTTGCGGTAGCTCCGTCTTAATTGGGCGTCGGCTGTTGGGTCTTAACCCAACTTTCAATCCCAGGTCGCCACGCCCGGCTTCCTTGTCACAGACCCCCTGGCAACCCCTTAAGATCCCAGTCACTTCCACTTCTATGAGGATTATACTAACGAGAATTTCCCGTGCACGCAGAAATACCACAAACCAGCTCTGACTACCTTGGATGGGCATTGCCCTAAACTGGGGGTTTCGCTGTAAGGCTTGTGACAGCTGCTTGCTTTTTGTTTTATTTCCGACTCGTCGCATCAACACTTGAACTGCTTCACCTCACAGCGCGTTGTCACTCTCCGATCATTCTCTTGATGGCGAGCTGTAAATGGTAGCTCCTAGTACACCTCATCACCCTGTGTTGATTTTTTTTTCTCCCGTCGCCCATCACGATCGGAAGCAATTTACACGTTTAAGGATCAGATAAGGACATGATGAATCGGTTTAGAACTAAGAAGAAGGCTAAGGATGAGGATGGCGCTCCTCGTCCCTCACAAGACTCTGAATCTTCAATGCCTTTCCGCGGCTTTAGGAAAGGGAAGAAGTCGCAGGAAAACGAAAAGAAAGAAATCGATATAACGGCGGTACTACCCTCCAATGATGATTTTCGTACGAGTCTGCTTATGACTGGGCTTTCTGCACGATTTTCGATGTTGCGGGAGCAGGACGACCCGAATACAAAAATTGGCAAAGCAAGCGATGACAGTGTTCTGTTTCCTAAGCGACAGTCGAGGATGGATTTGTCTTCGTTCCGCGGCCTTGGAGACATTGCCGAAGTCGAATCAGTCAAGGCCATTCCGCCTTTCGCTCGGAAGGGTTCTTACAACTCGGACGACGCAGACTTGCTCAACGAAGGAAGTATAATGAGTCGCGCCAAACCTACCGAGGGTAACAACCTTTTTGGTGGACGTCAAAAGATATATAAAATTCCTGCTGGTGCTAGCTCATCCAAAGGCGTGGATGGTGGTATGGGTGGTCGCGCGCTGTACGATGATGATGTTGCACAATCAGCATTTCAAAAATGGAGGCGAGCCGAGAAGGAGCGGGAGCTGTCACAGGATGAGCACAATGAATCTGATGCACAGGACGAGCAGAGAAATTCCTCGTCTGACCTTGATCCCCCTCGCTCAGAATCGCCTATCTTTAGTAATTACAATCGAAAGCGGGAAACTTCGTCTACATTGTCGTCTACGCCATCTGTTGCTAGACATTCATCTGCCGCTACTTCAATCACGTCTTTTCAGCCCACACCGTCTGTGAAAGATTGGCAACCAGCGAGTGGTTATAGCTCCGGGCCTGAGCGAAGTGTGACTCGAACAAGGCGTCTTTACGAGACTGGTTTTTTCAACCAAGACGCGCAGGAGTCGGGGCCTGGCGGCTTATCGCGCATAGATACGATGAGTCGGCAACGACCATTTGGCACTCGAACACCCGAGTTGGGTCAACAATCACCCTCTGTGGGTTTCGCAAACCGGCTGAGCGGCGAGCGAAAACCTCTGGCTAAAGCTAGCGCACCTAACCTTCGTTCGATAAGTCCTCCTGCAAGTGCCTCGCCAACAGGACCCCCGAACCTCGGTATTCGAGTTCCAAGTACAGAAGGCAAACCCAACCACGGCGGTGCCCCACCTATAAGCCCTCCCATTAGCGAAACAGAAGAAAATACTCTAATGTCTATCAATCCGAATGATAGAGGCAAGGCTACCGCTCTTGGAGTATTTCAAAAACCTGCGCAGCCTTATGACGAATCAAGGTTTGCACAAAGGCAGTTACAACTGCAACGAGGACGAGAGACGCCAACACAGAAGGCTCGTGATAGTCCTAACCCACCCGCGCCTGAGCAAAAGTCCAGATCGCCTTCCCCGGTTCAACAAGAGATTGTTGACTCCCCGACTGCTCCTGTATTCACAGTAACGCAGTCACCTAAAAAGGATGTACCTCAACCCACCTCATTTTTGGTCGATTCGGATGGAAGCGATACATCGTCAATGATGTCACCCAAGCCCTTGCCATCCCCACAGATTCATCTCCGACGGCCTTCCGATAGAGAACATCCCGCCCTTCGGCGAGATTCTGGCGTGCCTACGCCTGCATCATCTTCTCTTACGACATCTCAAGATGAACCGTCTACTAACCCAGATATTCTAAACAAACTTGCAGTTGAATCAAAAGGCCCTTCTCCTACAGACTCGCCGACCCTCGGCCCCGTATCAAATGATTCCGGTCTAAGCCTTATGGTACGGCAACATCTCCGAGCTGACAGCAATGCCTCGTCAATTTACTCTGGCGTACCTCCCACAGCAGGCACAGAGTCCCGGTTTCCTACCGATACTGTCGGTTCGAAAGCTACGCCTGAGTATAGCCCAGGTTACAACCCCTGGCAGGGCGGAGATCAAAGTCGTGATTGGAACCTGGACCTAGACGTTGCCGAACCCCTTGCAGATACCGAGTCCCTGATGTCGGATTCTAGTAGGGCTGTTCAATCCAGGGTGGAGTTATCTTCACACAACGAGTCAAACAACCAGAACACGGACGAGTTCGCAAGCCGTCTCGCTGATGGTGCTCGCCGAATCCGCGAAAAATTAACTTCGTATGTTGAGACCGACAGTCGTTCCTCATCCCCACATAGGCTAGAAGAGCACAACGATGCGTCTGACTTAGCGCCACTTCCACGACCTAGTGGCCTCGGCGCCATCTTACGTCCTAGGAGTAGCAGAGGCTCCTTGGTTGATCGTGGCCGGGAACCAACCTCGACCAGGGCTTTCAAGATGATGGGTATCAGTCCTGGGGGCTCTAGAACAGCTAGCCCAGGAAGCGAGTCTCAAAAGGGGCAGAGTGATGCTGGGGGGCTAGCACAAGAGGGAGAGGACAAAGAATCCACCAGTGATAGCCAGCCACCTGGGCTCCGTCAATTTCGACAAGCCAGACGAGACCTGCAACGGCTCAAGGAGCTGGAGTCGCAATCTCGACATTACCCAGCACCTCAGGGCCCCCCGCCGGATATCCCATCTCCGCAACAAAGAGCCGCGAAAGAAGCTATGGAACAGAGGACGAGGACACCAAGCCGAGACCACAAGCCGCCTCCTGTCTATTATAAACAACGTATACCAAGCGACGAATTGTGGAATGGCGACTCCCCTGATAACTCACTTTATTATCGAAACGATCGACAACGCAGCGAGTCTGAATCTAGCTATGAGGCACGCTCCAACAATAGAATGACACGGTCTAGAGATACATTCACTGGACGGGAAACTACCCCCGCTCGCTTCTCTCAGTCGCCAATGCGCCCAACTGGGCTACCAGGGACTGATATTAAACGTTCACCAATTATGCCTCCACAGCCTCACCCTAATGTTTCACTGAGGATGAACACATCAAACCAGAACTCAGGCGGCAAACTATACGTGCCACGCACTTATGAATCTGACCAGCCTTCCCCTATCTCACCAGGAGCGTCGCCTTTGTTCAACTCAGCACCACCCACTCCTCGTAATTTATCTCCTAGGCCTCCGGTTGCCCAAAACCTAAGTTACGACAGTGTAACTGTGCCTAGTTCTGGTTTTCACGCGGCAGAAAATAACAAGTCATATATCAACACTCGAGATGCGCCCCCTCTTCCTCCTATCAACCCGAGACGGCGTCAGGATAGCACAAAAGCACGTCCGGCTCTGGAATCGTTTGTTTCTCGGGATCGAGACAACTTTGAGCGTAACGGTAGGGTGATGTCGCCAAATCATCTCAGCGAAAACACTAACGGCGTGGATCATCGAGGTGTCTCTACCAATGGCAACAGAGACGGTTACAGTGCCCACTCGAAACGACCTCAAAGAGCGATGACGGATGTTGCTGGCTCGAATGTGGGTTTCGGCAAGCCGCGAGGCAACAGCTCGCCTCTTAACAGTGTCCCACCCACATCTAGAATGACTGTGGGGCAGCTCAGAAATATGCCGCACAACACTGGTCTACCAGGTGGTATGATTTAATAGCTGAGTGAATATCTCGATCTGGGATATGAGGCGACCCCATGGCTGGACATCACGGCTGCCTGCTCAATGGCACTAAATGCTTCTTTTAGATCGCCTGCTTGGGAGTCATACAGCGCTAAGGGTATAATCACATTGTCGTGATTGAGCGTGGCAATTTCTTTTTCTTTATGTTCTAATTTTATCCCATTTTAATCCATAATCAGGATGGCTTAGGAGTTGATATTGGCGACAACGAATGCTTTGGGTTGGGTTGGCCGAAATATGAATATCACAAATGGAGCCAAGGTGTTTGTCTGATTTTGGAGAACCTATGGTTCGGAATAACATGTACAATGTACGCGTTCTGTGAAGGCACGCGAGATCGTTGGCTGCCTCTGGAGTCGGTCAAAATCTTGGTGCTGAAACTTATTGAAAGAGATAACGCAAACAATTGAGTACGGAATATACCTACTATTGTTACACTACTAAAATAAATGAATCCTCTGACCAATTCTTCCTGAATATTTACCATGCTCCAGCTGTCCGCCATGCATCGCTTGGATACGTTGCCTGCCTTGATTCTACTTATTGATCCAGAGTCTTGGTCGTGATTCTTTACATAGGCGGGACTAACGTCAGAGTCTGTTGATATCCCGTACCATGATAATATTATTGTCGCCTTCACTACCCTCAACCACGCGAAAGCCAACCTTTTCGTAGAAAGCCACAACCTTACTATTCTCGCCGGCCACGCCGATGTGCTCTCCCTCCCCGTAATCCTGGCCACTCTTCTGCACGCTCAGCACGAAGCTCTCAATCAGCTGCCGGCCCCAACCCCGCCCCTGCCACGCCGGCAACAGGTCGATGTGCATCGTCGCGCGCCATCGCCTCGTCACGGCCTCGTTGGACCCTAGGAGCATCCAGTCGGCGCGGTACGCGTTCTGCGCTAATGCGCGGGGGTTGATGATTACCGCGGAGGTGGTGGCGGCTGGCACGGTCCACGGCTCCCGGATGTCGAAGCCCGGACTCGCGACGTCGCGCGAGAGAATCGATGTCACGTAGCGCGAGTAATCTGCTACGAAGGCGTATACGTCTGGACAACCGACTGCGAGGCTGGTGGTTAGCGGGGTGTTGGTATCACTGCTTTGTTTGGTGTGTGGCGACTTGTCTTTATGAGATTGAGCTGAACTATGGAGCTGTCTCACTTGTCTGCCCCCCTTTATATGATATGTGTGTATGGGGAGTTACAGAGGAATAGTAGAGATTCGACATACTGCAATATCCCACGGCCGTCCCGGTCCCGTCGTCAAGCACGTAGCACGTAGAAGGGCTGAGGCATGTGTATGGGTGCGTCCAGAGGTACGGGGAGAGCTTGGCGGCTGCGGGGGAGGCCGCGAGAGATGGTGGGAGAGTCGCGATACACTAGGTATGTTAGGTCAGATTGTTGATGTCTTGTCAATTGTGTGCTTGTCTGCTTGTGTATGTTTATGGTTGCTGAGGTATGTGTAATGAATATCCCTCATTTGGAGTATGGGGTTTGCGATACTGAACTCGTATAATCGCGTGTATAAGGACATGGGTACTGCCAAGTAAGGAGTTTGGATGAGCTTCACCTACGATCTGCGCGCACGCTTCGAAGTCGGAGTCCTTGTAGAGCCGGATGAACGCCATCGTCACCTGTGACTGTTCGAAACACACGGATTACATGGAATTAGGTAGAATACGTACGTGTCTATGGCGTACCGAGGCGATATCCAAGGCCTTCTTTGCGAGATCAAGTTGACATAGGTGGCTAATCTAGGTATTTACCCATCTACCTGATGATCTATCTATCTACCTCGCAACTTCACACCGAGTTGCATGCGAGCTCTTGTGAGACCCCAATCCTCCACTTTCCCCTTTTGGCTAAACGACACTTATCGCTATGTACATCCTTAGCTGGGCGAATCGCTTTAAGATCTTCGGATTTTTCAATTGGTGAGGGGTTTGGTGTCCGGGTGTGTTTTTAAGGGGGTGAGACCAACTGCATTGTTGATATCCCGAGCGTGAGACGCGGAACGCAATTGCTCACCTCAGAAATCACGAGACTTATATGACTCTTAACTCTGCACAACGGCGTAGGTATATGCACACTTTGTCACGGACATCGAACAGCTAGATGTAAGATCGCCTCTATCCGGCCGGAAAAGCGGAAGAGCTTGAGGGCCTTAGCAACAACATATCGACCGAAATAGTCAGCCTAAGCTTAACATCTGAGTGTGTTGATACTAATACTCTCATAGCACACTGAATAATGAGAAACATCAAAACTCTGAGGTTGAGCTGCTGATTGAGGCTGTTCAGCTGGGGGTATGATGATAATAGGGCTTGAGCTTTGGTTTCATACCAGAGCGGCCACGCGTCAAATATTGTTTCATAATAATATATCAACAATAAAACTCGGTATATACGCATATAATGCCTACAATATTATGAGCAGTGTGGGAGGTTCGCCCTGTGTTGCAAAGCACTGCCTGGGTACTCATACGGGCCTATTAATTCCCTCGACTACAAAATTAATACCACTATCTTTAGCTAACGACTTGTATGTCAATGCGAGTTCGTGCAAGCTATGCACAGCGCATCTTAGTGACGTTAACTGGTGGTGCACTGCCACTTAGCACCTTTCTCAGCATTTCAGCCGCACCTAGAGGATCCTATGACCTCAGGAAGCTTCAGCTCGGAGGCCTGACGTTGATATATCAACAATGCATTTAAGGGCCAGTACCAGGCCTGGCTCTGAGGGTATGGGCTCATGACAGCTTCTTCAATGATGTGTCGCGAAAATCATAACAACATGCTTCCTAGTGCCGACTCTGCGCCGTTGTGCAAGCCAACGCTCTGTAACCGCTGTCGTAACCTCAACCTGACAGCGGCGGACTTCTTCGTTAACGAACAGGAGGCCAAGGAGACCCCAAACCCGCACGATGTCTATGACCCGATCACCAAAGATGTTCGGACTTGGCGGGATGTTGAGGAAGCGAGAGATTGTCCTCTCTGCCATGTAATCAAATGGGCCGTTGAAGATACTCGCGCTAGCTGGCTCTCACCCAACGGGCCTCATTCCTGCGAGCTCCAGTTGAAGAGGTTGTACGGGTCGCACAGCGTCGACCGCATGCCTAAAGATGTCCGCTATCTCGAGGTAACCGCGAGGTTTGACTGGAAAGCCTCGCGAGGAATTGCGCCGTCATCTCGAGTCTCCCCAGTTCCGAAAGATTCGTGAACATGTCCTCGTCTTTGACGTCGAACAACAGTGTTTAGTCCGTTTACCTACAGATGGCCGATACCTTGCTCTCAGCTACGTCTGGGGCACCGTCCAATCTCTCAGAACTCTCAAGGAAAATGTGCAGTCATTTATGGCTCCGAATGGGCTGCTTTCAATTATGGATCAACTGCCGAAAGTTATTCTTGACGCTGCTAGATTGACCGAACAATTGGGAGAGAGGTATCTCTGGGTGGATGCTCTTTGCATCATTCAGGATGATACTGCCTTCCAAGACCTGTTAATCAGTGCCATGAATACGATCTACGAAAACGCGTTCTTAACAATATTTGCAGCCACCGGTGCCGACTCTAATGCTGGTCTTCCGGGTGTGCGCCCGACACAACGAGGGAGATCTCAGCTCACTGCCGAGATAACCAAGGGGCTGAAACTGGTCCTCCCAATTCGCTATCAAAACATCAAGCAGTCGAAATGGGCCACTAGGGGATGGACGTATCAGGAATACTTCTTCTCCAAGAGACGATTGCTCTTCGTCGAAGGGCAAGTCATTTACAGATGCTCCAATATACGGTGGAGAGAGGACATAGCCCAGGAGCATCTCGCACAGGGCATCGTGCATTTCCAGGTGGACACGGCCGGCAGCCGTACCAACTGGGAACCTCCTAACGTACGGTTTCCAAATGCACCACGAGACAAATGGGACAGACATCATTTCAACACCTATGTGGAAACGTACCTTGATCGAAACCTGACGTTCGATTCTGACATTCTATCAGCCTTTGCTGGAATCATCAGCGGGGCGAACGACAGACAGTTACCGATCACCTGGGGTCTAACTGAGAAACACATCAGTTTGGATATACTCTGGCTCCCCTACAAATGGGTTACCCGACGCCCTGGGTTCCCAAGCTGGTCCTGGGCTGGGTGGAAAGGGCCGGTGATAAGCTATCGTGATTATCTCATCCTTGATGCGGAGATTTGGCAGCAGCGGAAATCTTGGATAGATTGGTACATCTTTGACAAAGCCTCCAGTATGTTTCGGTTGCTGTCAACAGGATACGCACCGCTGCAAGAAGCAGAAGTAACGCAGAAAGAAGAATCTGAGCGTCGTTGGAGGGAGCCTATGAAACAGAATAGAAGGGGGCAGCAGGGGGCTGATATTCCTGATGAAGAACAGGACAGCGATAGCTCAGGTAAACTTGCCTCTCTGCTCTGGAGACTAGGCGGCAATCAAGGCATGCAGGCACCCCCAATCCGGGGGCCCCCATACTCTCTTCAGGATTCGTCAGCGATCAATGAACAGACGCTGCACTTCAGAACGTTGACAGCGCACGTCTGGATCTCCTCGTTGAAGCCGAATAGGGAGCCTCCGCGTTCTCCGATAGATGATCAACTCATCCTCCCCTCTGCACCAACGCTGCATTTATACGCAGCCGACGGAACACACATCGGTTGCGCATGGGCGCATACACAGGAGCTCTTCGACAGCATCTCATCATACGACAGAGACGTACTCCTTAAAAACCCCTTGGCCCGCCGTCAACATGTTGAAATCGCACTCCTCGCGGGGCCACTCAAGGGAGACTGGCGCAGCCGCGTGGAGAAAGCAACTACCTACCAGTACACCCAAGCGTTGGTATCATATGGGCTGAACGTGGCAAGCGCCGTGTCTCGCTACGAGCAAAAGATGCTGTACGAGCAAGAGATTTGCAAGATCTACGTCGACATGGTGCGCGAGCGTCAGGCGGCTGAGCCCGACGTCCCAGGTGTTGAGAGCCGCCTGACGGTAGAATTCTGTGAGCAACTGGAAGACCGCGTGCTCTTGGCCGATCTGGGGAGCAGGTTCCCTGGTCACTGCGAGGAGACGATGAGGCCGGCTATCGACGGGCTCACGAGTGCGGGGTTTGGGATGCGGGCGAAGGAGGGTCAGCAATTCATCAAGGTCATGCTGATGGGAGATCTTACAGGTGAAGGAAGCGGTGGGTCGAGTGGTGCTATCAGTGAAAGGATCGGCATGGGAGAAATCCGCGACGATGCAATGGGGTTAATTCAGGGGCTGGCGTTCAGGGATGTGTTTTTGAAATGATACGGTCCTCTACAGGTAATACTGCTAGTGCTAGATAGTTCCTAATAAGTTTGAAAATATCTATAGGTTGGATTTATTCATTTATAGTAGCTTCCATAACTAATACAGCTATTACATTACATTTGGTTCAAGCTTGACGTTGGAAGAAGTTACCTGCCTGTAGGTACCAAGTGTTCCAACATGAGCGATTGAACTAGGGTATGAAGACTAATCTTCCCTTGCCTGCCAGCGACTTATCCCGCCAAGCCTCTTCGATATCCTTCAGAGGCACACTATGAGCCTCCAACAGATCCAACTTTGTGACCGCTGGCACAAGTTTCTTAACTTCCTGTAGCACAACGGGCATAGGGATAGCGCCGGGGCCGGACCCCCTGATCGTGATATCGCGCGACCTGAGGAGTCCAGGGGGAATGGCGACTTCCTTGCGCGACAGCACCCCAATGCTGATATACTGCAATGGCCTTTGGATATTGACCGTAGATAGTACGTGTAAGGCCAGATCTCCGTAGACATAATCTAGAACGACATCGCACACTACCTGGGAGAAATCCGTGTCGGTAATGGGATCCTTCTGCACGATATATTCGTCGAGACCCTCCATTTTGGCGAGCGCGGCCTCGTCTCGGGCGACGCCGATGACTTTCCCTGCACCGAGCGTCTTGGCCACGTGGACCGCTATCCTGCCGCTCGCGCTCGTGGCCCCGAGGATCAACACGGTGTACTTCTCGGGTAAGTTCGACGTGCGCTGAGTCAGCGCCAACCAGCTGCTCATGGCCGGGTTGACACTGCCTGCGAATGCGACAGGGTCGATGGTGTCTGGGAGAAGATGGACGACGGCCCTGGGCACGGTGATGACCTCGGCGAAGGTCCCGAACCTGGGCTTCATCCAGCTGCAGTAGTAGAGCTTGCCGGTGGCGACGTCCCGGCCGACGCAGTCTATGCCGACGTTGTGTGGCAGTGAGCCTGAGGAGGCGTGCTGGCCGGATGCGCGAGAGCGGACGACTTGGTGTAGCCCGGTTGCCAAGACGCGGAGCTGGATCTCATTGTCGGAGGGTGCTGGGGCATCATCGACGGTGATGTAGCGTGGTCCTTCGGACCAGTCGCGGACCTGGGCGATATGCATTATTTTGATTTTAGATGATATTTGATAGAGGTGGAAGTGAAATTCTCCTTTTGTTCAGTCGGATAGAAGAAAGTAGCGTTGAGTCAATATAGTGTGAGTTTGTTTGAGGTCTGCAATTCTGAGTTTGAGAGCCAAGCGGAAGAGCTGTGTCTTTATATACATGTCGAGGTCGTAGTATATCGCGCGCTTCTGACACACCGTCAGAGCGGATGATGATGAAGAATTGGACGCCATGGTTCACACACATACATAATCCCTCGTCCAAACAAGCATCTCGCTTCTGCAGAACGGATCCTGAGGAGCCGTGACGTACGGGTCAGTGGGCGGCGGATTCCAAGACGGGCCCGAAGGATCCTTGCCCACGCCAAGGATCGTGGGGCCCAGACCAACGCACTACATAGTCTAGTACTATACTACCTATGTAAAGAGCGCGCGCGTGCGCTGGCGTTGCCTTGATTGCCCTTTTAGGTTGTGTCAGCAGCGCGGTAGGGAATATGATTGGGCAGATGGATCTGACGGCGCCGACTCATCACTGATGTACACGTATTTTTTCAACCTTTTCCTCCCTCAAAATAGGTCTGGCAATTGGCAATTGGGTGTGGGATATAGGCACCGAGTGCAGTAGGCATGGAAGCCTAGCGTGGCTACATGTAATACCTAGGCTGACTCACGGCCGGTCACCTCGGCCGCGTATGCATTTATCAAGCCACCTGCAACTAAGCTAGGCTGCTAGATTATCAAAGGAAGAAAAAGAAAAAGGAAAAGGAAAAGGCCTACGCGACCCTCCCTTCCTTCTGGCAGCCGGGGGCTTTATCAAATGCGCCCGTTAACTGGCTATCCGTTCAGCCAGGTGCACATTGTATAAGGGACGATAGATGGGTTAACAACTCTGTAGGTGTCTTGGTAGTTTACTTGCCTTGTCACTCAGATGCGTAGCTGTACAGCTGATACTGGTGAGATAATTATGGTCCGCCCTAGTTCCTTTAACCATATCTATGGGAGAATGGCTATTATGACCAGCTGGGATAAGTTTGGTGAAAACGGGCGCAAGATGTTCTGCAAAAGGTAAATAATCGATGAAATATCTGTTCAGTTAACACCGAAATCTACCAAACACTGAAAAGGAAACCAGGAGATGGCAATACATCACAAGACCTTGGAAATGAAAGAAAAAAGGGACTATAAATATTGGGGTTTTATTTTTATTTATCTTTAAACAAGAGAAGAAGAAGAAGTCCCCATGTTTAAGCTTCTAGATATAATGTGCTTAGAAGCCGTTGCATACAGCTTCAAGCATAACGCCCTCGAAGAGTTCCACATTCAGATGCGGCAGATCAACTGGTTTCCTAAGAAACTGAGAATACCCGCCGGTCACGATTGAGGTCTACATATTTTACACTCACTAGCATAACTACGAGGATCAAGTACTAACTACAACAGTTGGTAGAATCTGAGATTCTGTCATGAAGGATTATAAGGGTTGTTCAGCATGTCAATACGAGTATGCAGTTGGCTTGAGAGTTGTCACACCGGAGCATCACAAAGCTTTCTTGTACACTCTGCCTGAACAGCGAATATTGTTTTGCAACATAACGAGATTCCTTAGTCTGTGTAGAAATCCTCGCGCTTCTTGTGTTCGCATGCTATTCGTTACTTCTTCTTGTGTTAATGGAGATGATACTAGACTATAAATTCTAGCTACTACGCTGGTCGCATTGACAGTCGTTATCGCCGCCGTCAGTGGTTTTTCAATAAGAACGTATATCCTAGACATATTTGATAGAAAATTCCAACTTGATACTGTGTTATAGTTAATACGAATATCTATACTCTAGCTAATTACTTTTTATAGAAACGTAGCAGGAGACATTGATGATGTTGTTTTCGAAATTTAGTCGTCAATGACTGTATATGATTCCAACGTGTAAAATTTCTACGAAAGTGATTAGGCATGAGTCAATGTTTGACTTTACGAATGATTTTGGAATGACAGGAACAAAGCTTGCAGGGGCGTGACGATCCTTGAGGTATATGGTCAAATCCTCTGTCCAACAGTAGGCTGGTGGCGAGAAGTGAGTGGAGGTGGGGCGCACCACTTTTCGACAAGCACGTGTGACGATGCGCGCATATTCGAACATCATCGAGCTAACAACCAACAGCAATAATTCCTCACCTGAGAATAGCAAGTCTGAAGCAAACTACCGACAACTGACGACCAACACGGCCCACAGCTGCATAGTAGAGGCTAAAGGTCACCAACAGTTACTATCCCATCGCCAACTCTTGGCGATCGCCCATTCCTCTGCCTATAGATCCCATTCTCCTACCTCCATATTGGCTGCAGCACTCTTCCGCTGCGCCGACTCCTTTGCCATGTCCGTTGCCAGTGACCAGGCACAATTTATCCGGCGCGTGGGTTTTCTCGAGTTGGTCCCTAGGATTAGAGAGCTGGTCTATCTCTATGCTGGGGTCATATCCAATGCAACCGTCCCTTTCGATAAAGAAAACTCAATCGAAAAGCGTGGACGAACAAAGAGGGTTAATGAGCTCCGAGGACCTCATCTAGATTGGACCACTACACTGGCCTTACTACAGACATGTCGACTGGTTTATAGTGAAGTGTCCTCGCTGATCTACTCAACAAATCGCTTTGTTACTCATACCCTGCTCCCTCTTCGCAATCTCACGTCATCAACACTTCACTCACTTTCAGTACTCAAGGTACACGTCCATGCGGGCACCTGCGAACCGGATCGCGACTATTGCGATCTTCTCTACTCGGGTTATCACACCGGCGAACAGCTGGATAGCTCTATCCCTGCTGACGCACGAATCCTGGATGAATGGGAAGCCACCGCATCCCATATTGGCGGCGGTATCCAGGCGGGAAAGCTCGAGCTATTGTTGATTTGCGATGTCAAAACCATTGAGACAGCTAACCTCGTGGTGGAGCCGCTACGACGATGGCCACAGTTGTCTCGTTGTAGCATTAGGCTTTGCAACAGGCCTGATAGTGTCCTTAGTAACCTGGCAAGCACCGTTTCAAGGACATTAATGGGTTCGCTGGATAATAATATGCCATTCATGTTTCCCCGTTACCAAGAGCTGCCTTTAGAGCTACGACTGAAAGTATTGCAATATACAGATCTCGTAACCCCGTGGACTGAGGGTAAGTCCAACAGCTCTGTTCATGCGGTAATTATCATGACAGGCTAATGTTAGATCGTGTCTAGTGTCGTGGGATCCTTCCTTGAAGTATCACGTCGGATCGCGTGCGTGTTGCACTGCTGGCACAAAAAGTTACCCGTTTTACGAATTCATAGATCCCGAATCTACTGCTGCCGATTGTGTTTCCAACTGGACCGTTTCCAACAAAGACTACCGCATGTTTGCTCACGCCTGGGACCCAAGGCACAGTATATGCCAGTTCCAACCCTGCAAGAGGATGACAATCTGGTATTCAGGGACTGGCTGCTTCTGTAAAAAGTACCACGCAGCATATACTCCAAGTTGCAGTTGCTGGCAACCGCCGACACGCCTGTTTCTCGTAAGCAAAGCGTTCCGCGAGGAGGCAGCCTTTACCTTCTTTTCTTCAAATCATTTCAATGTCAGGATGGGCAGTGGTAAGGATGCCGGACTTCACATTAGCAGAATGAGCTCTTTCCTCACAATTTTATCGTCCGCCAACGTGTTTCAATACATTAAATCTTTGAAGATCAAGTTTTCAGTTTTCATAAACTATTTGCGCCCGAAATCCCCCCTTTACTCCTATTCTGAGGCGCAGGCGGAATGGAAGCGTACAATCGCCTCAATCAGTTCCAATAGTAATTTACGGTACCTGGAGATCGAGACAGATACAATCGACTGTTCCACTGAGCTGTCAGGATGGCCGAACATACATACGGAGAAATTCTTTGAAATAGCCCGAAATAGCATCGACCCAAAATTCTGGGTTTTGCATGGGGATGGCCGCCCGCGAGGCACACGTCAGCTAATGGTGCGTATGTCTTGGTTTCTAAGTCCATACCAGTGGGCAAATGTCTACTATAATATCCGGCAGGAGCACGAACCCTTACCTCTGGAGGAAGAATACTGGGGAAATAAGGAGCATTATGGGCAAACTTATCGTGTCTCATCCTGCCGCTCGCTTGTGATAGAGGAAGCTAGCAGTCTCGCAAAATGGGTCGAGCAAATATGGGTTTTGGGTGATGAAGAGTTAGTCAACGATCCTTATGATGGTTTTTATTGAGTCTTCAGTTGTCAGAAGTGAGTGGTCAATATCTTCAGGGCGACATTGGATTATATCTAGTCACGGGAGTTGACACTTCATGCTGTTCATAGGTGGGTTTATTCCAAAGAAAGGTCTATTTATAGAATATAAGGCAATAAGCAACGAAGCAGAGATTAAAACAGAAACAGATATGCACACTCTAAGCCTAGAGTATGAACCTTTTGTGATCGTCGAATATTCCGAGGCTTTGCTAAGAACTGCGAGGAACTGCAAAGTTACGCAGTTAGTATATGTTACAGAACCAAATACTCATAAAATCTTTCTTGACAAGTAGTTAATAATAGCAACTTAAGTGCTAAATAATGAGATGCTATATACGTTAAGGCTTTCATAAAAGAGCGGCATGATTATACGTAAAATAAAATGCACTATAAGGACATGGGAAACATACGATCAAGAAATAACATGCATTAGATTCAGGAAATAGGTAAAGAAAGAAGCAACGCGTATATCCACCCAGTGCCCTCTATGGGATTCTCACTAGTTGATATTAATTACATAATATAACCTAAAGCTCCGAAATCAACGCCGATGAATCCGCCTCACTGCACTACTTCGATATACACGGACACAGCGAGCTACTAGACTTGTCCAAACTCAATGTTTCCCATCGATAAAAGATGAGGGAAAGCAAATCATGAACAGAACTAGACAAGGAGAATGAGGGCATTTGATTCCAGATGTTCATTCAATTATCATTCGTAATACTTGGAATAAATCGAATTCCCGTTAACGCCACCCAGTGCAGATAGATGCCAGGAAAGGCTAGCATGAAGAGGAACGGCTGCCCGACTACATCCCCTTGTTTCTATTTACAGGAAGAAGCTTGTCATACAATTCGGACCCGGGGCACCATGCCTATTATAGATACATCAACAATAATAAACGTACTTATGTCACATAGTCTGGGATGAAAGGGGCAATTTGTAGGTGGTGAAGAATAAATAACGTGTAGGAAAGAGGAGAAAGGATTAACGCAACCAAGCAAGAATTTTCCACCCCTCTTCTCTACCTCTTTCCGTCGCTTTCTATGTCTAAATGTATATATATGCAAGTATCCAAGTGGAATGGATGAATATCGGCGGAAGAAAGGAATAATATGAGAGTCTAACGTTGTGGCGTAGAAAAGGTATGGTGTCGGTAGGTAGTGGCTGTTTCCCCAGTCTAGTAATTAAAATAAGTTTACAAAGATTTTTAAGTTTAGTGTTTCTTTTCTTGATCGACAGTTGCTTTCTTTCTTTTATTCCTTCTTCGCTTTCTTCTTGCTCCAGTTCTTGGGCACGCGGGTGAGCCAGTAGAGGAAGAGCGCGCCGACAATGTTGAAGCCGATGTAGACGAAGAGAAGGCCGAAATTGCGCCACCGGTCCTCTGGAAAGTAAATGTTAGCGAGGATTCAGAAAAGTGTGGAATGAAAGGGGGGCTGTTTGTACGGCAGGACATACCGAAGATGACACTGGTCTGGGCGAGATAATCATTTGTCTTTTTAATAGAGCAAAATTGGCAATCTGCCGTGTTGTTCATCGTGGCCTCCTCTAGGTAACCACCATAGCTGATCTGCGTCGCCAGGTACTCCATGCAAGTTTGACCGGCCGGTGGATCAATGTGCAGCAACTCGTTGCTAGCGCACTGCACTTCTGTGTTTCCGACGCTGAAGGACAAGAGTGACGAGACCAGATACGTAAACGGACTAACGCGATACAAGAAGATCCAGAACTGCGGGAACTGGCCGGGTCGGGCGAGGACACCGCAGAAAATGAGGCATAGTGTGAAGAGCAAGTTGGCCATGTTACCGCCAGCCTCCGCTGTTTCGAAGGCCGCGATGATTAGGTGCGTGAACGTGCACGTGAAGAGCAGGAACAAGAGGATGAGTAGGAAAACTAGGGCGCCACGCTGTGTTGTCATGCCGTCATCGTAAGTGTTCCGATACAGACCGATGGGATAATACCACCCGAAGAACATGATGACGGCCATGAGGGTGTTCCAGGGAATCTCGGCAATGATCTGAGAGAGCATGAAGACCTGCCAGCTGTAGACTCCAGACGGGCGCTCGCGCACCTCATAAAGGGATCGCTGGACGACGAATTGCGGCATAGTCTGCTGAACCATCTGACCGAAAACAGTAAGGATCTGGAAGACGGCAAATGTCTGGTTCTGGAGACCCTGTATCGAATTGGGAGAGCGGAAGAAGACGAAACCGATGAAGAGTGAGACGAAGGTACAGAGAGCAGCTTTGGAATATATGTAAGTGGGATTGCGCCAGTACTGCTGGAAGACACGGTGCGTGACCTCCTTGAATTGGGCTGAGAACGGAGCGGCATGTTCGCGGAAGGACTGGTCGTCTTGCATGGGGCTGGAATCGGAAGCATTGTCTCTCAGTCGTTGCAGCTCAGCCTTCACGTCGCGGTATTCGGGGCTCTCGCGCCATGTCTCGAACCAGTCACGGTCGGTGTGGCTGCCGGGAGCGGCACCGATAGCGTCCAACATCCATTCAGCAGGGTTAGCAGTCGGGGGACAGGGTGGCGCGCCGTGACGTTCAAAGTAGCTTGTTAGAGTTTGAGAGTTTTCGCCGATCTCGCCAAAGTAGACAGTTTTGCCACCCTTGGCCAGGAAGAGCAGTCGGTCGAAACGTTGGAAAAGCATGGCGGACGGCTGGTGGATTGTACAAAGGACGGCTTGTCCTGCTTTGGTCAGTTTTTCTAGGAGATCCAAGATTGCCCAGGAGGTCTGCGAGTCTAGACCGGAAGTAGGCTCATCGACGAAGAGCAGCAGTGGTGGCTTAGCAGCAAGTTCGACACCGATTGTGAGGCGCTTGCGCTGTTCAACATTGAGACCTTCACCAAGAACACCGACAACTGCGTCAGCATACTCCTCCATGTCCAATAGCCTAATAACCTCATCGACGTACGCCAGCTTCTCCTCGCGTGGTACATCAGCCGGCTGGCGAAGAATGGCGGAGAAGTTCAATGCCTCGCGAACTGTCGTAGTAGCGAGATGGAGATCCTGTTGTTGCACGTAACCGGTCTTACGCTGGAAACTAGCATCACATGGTCGTCCATCAACAAGCATATCACCGGTGATTACACCCATGGTAATACGACTCGCCAGAGCATCTAGAAGTGTTGTCTTTCCTGCACCAGAAACACCCATCAAAGCTGTGAGAGTGCCGGGCTTGACCCAGCCGTCAACATGATCAAGGATACGTCTCGGTTCTCCCTTGATCTTGATATCGTAGCACACGTCATCCCAGTGGAAAACACTTGTCTGTTGTTCCAACATGCCGGCTTCCTTGTTGTTCGGAGCAGGACGGCTAGCGTTCGTAGCAACCGGACCGACACGGGGGCCTTCGCCTTCCTCAACGTCTCCTTTGCGCTCCTTGAATTGGGCAGGCTTATGACCACGTCGGAACACAAGAACCTCACCCTTGGACTTCTTCTCAGAAACAAGCTCGGCAAAAACCATGTACGTAAATAGGGAAAAGAGAGTGAAGGCGATGATGATACCCAGGTTTCGCCACTTGTGAGCAGGATAATATTGGAAAGCCGTGGTCAGATATCGATCTCCGTCCACCGTCGGTGAACCAGGAACGCTGCCCAAAGCGCTGCACACCTGGTTGGCAGGAGATGCATTAGCATATTCGGAGAGTTGCGGCGAAGGAATGATCTCGGTGCATCGGAATTCTCGTCCAGAAAATTCGTTTACCATCAATGACTCAAATGAGTAAGCGACAGGGTCGACATAGTTGAGCCATCGACACCAGCTCAACATATAGTTGACCGGAATGATGAAGCCAGTGAAGACAACGAGATCAAGAATGAGAATGGCAGCCGGGACTAGAGCCTGTGTAATAGTTCTGGACATCGAGGCAAGAGTGCGGAAAATCATACTCATAACCAGAGTCGTCACGAACGAGAAGAGCAGGAAGAAGAAGAATGCTCCCGGTTCACGGCGAAGATTCGTTAAGAAGTACAACGAAGTGTTGAAGATGATGTTATTCACGATCTTGTAGGGCAAATCGCACAACATGGAGGCGACTGCCTCAGCCGACGGGTGGTACAATGCGTAACGGTTGTGCTTCTCGACAATGGGACGTTGAGCGAATAGGGTCAGGATTTCCAGGGCGCTAGCAAAGGCATTCAGGAGACAGGAGAAAAAGATGAGGGAGCCTCTTTGGTAGAAGCTTTCTGTCGTAGGCTGAAGGTTGTAGAACACACTGCCGACGATGAGAGACATGGCGAAATTACCGATAAGAGCACCAAGGGTGATACTGGGGTCACCCTTGAGTCGAAGCCACCCACGCCAGAGACAGAGGCGCACTTGTTGGAGATAAGAGAGCGTGTATGGAGATTTTGCTCGCTGGCTCTTTGCCTGCTGAGCTCGCTTGGAAACGCGGAAGGCTTCAGCATCGGGTCCATTAATAGGGTGCTCCTTCTTGTATTCTTCAATCTCGGCTTGAAGAGCCTTATACTCGGGGCTATTCTTCCAGGCGGCGGCGAATTCATCTGGTGTCCGCGGTACCTTGCCCTCGAACCCTTTGCGGACGATGCGCTCAATTGGACTTGTCATGGAAGTCAAGAAGTCAGGAGTTGTTTGACGGGCAGGACACTCAAAACCGAGGTTGATGAAATATTGTTTAGCGTCTTCGGTACGACCAAAGTAGAGTTGCCGCCCTTCATATAAAACGGTGACCTTGTCGAAACAGTCATATCCATCTTGAGGAGACTGGTAAATGGACACACAGGCGGTGCTGCCAAATAATTCGGTCTGTGTTCTCAGCGTCTTGCAGAATTCGACAGCGTTGGCACTGTCCAGGCCTCGGGTGCTGTTATCCCAGCATTGCAGAGGAGCACGACTGAGAGTGGCCTCTGAGATTGTGACACGCTTACGTTCACCACCCGACACGCCACGGATATATTCATTACCCACTCTTGTGTTAATGGTATGTGAGATACCGAACATGGCCATGGTGACATCCCGCAAATGGTTTGCATATGTCATTCTATCTACACCCTCTGGAAGCTGGCGAGGAGCACGGGCTTGAGCCGCGAATCTGAGAGTCTCGCCCACTGTCAGCATGGGGAAATGGACATCTATCTCGGCGGTGTAGATGGCCTCGCCCCGGTGGTGCGTATGCATCTCCTTGGCAGAGATGCCTTGGTAGTTAAAGTAAGACTTGTCGTCGATGTAAATACCTGCGGTCTCGCCGGCGATGGCCTTGAGGAAGGTGGTGCATCCAGATCCAGGAGGTCCTAGGACTACTAACATTTCGCCTTTCCGAACGACACCATCAAAGTCTTGCAGGATGTCAATCTTGGTCCCCTTGTGGCCAAAGAGCCTGCGCCCCTGTGAGATGGCCTCGATCCAGACATTGCCGACATCCTTCTGGTAGTCAGTGGCGCTACCGTAACCGTGCACGTTCATATGCTGAAAGCAGACACCAGCGGTTCGGAACTCCTTTCCTTCGCTCGCGGTCATCTCAACCATGGCTTTGGCCCAGTCCCGGGCCCGAAAATTAGGCGAATGTGGGTTAATTGTTGAGTCCTCGTTTGTATCCAAGTAAGGATTGGTACCGGGAGTCCAGTGAGCCTGGGATTGGGACGTGTATTTGCGCGCGAGCTCTTGGACGATTGACTCGCGGCGCTTCAACTCGACGGCGTCGTCATCGGTGGATTCGCCGCTTGATGCCGGATCATTGCTTTCCATGTTCTCCTGGCCAGTTTCCGAGTTGGCCCTTGACCGCGACCCTGATGCCTTCTCGCCTAAGCCATGACCGTCGGCTCCTAGTCCCTTGTACGCCGGCGAGGTAATCCTCGGTGAGGCTGTAGCTTGGGCGGTGCGGTCATAATTCGAGAATCCACCACCGGTCCACGACATGTTGTCCCGCCTTCCCTGACCTTGGACCAAGCGGCGCGCAAATTGTCGACGTTCTATGAGTGATGACGCCCACAGTCTGTGTAAGAAACAATATGGGTGGTTTATGGGGATGGTAGCGCGCGTCGATAGTGTGAAGAAAAAGGAGTAATTACAAGTTATTACTGAAGAACGAGAGGAATGTTAATGAGCAAACAAGCAACTAGCGACGTGGATGCCAGAATGCCAGGGGAGGGGGGCAAGCGTGATTAATATTTTATACGTTGGCCTTCAGTATCTCGTTTCTTTCGTTTCAGTTGTTCGCAACCCAGTCGTAGTGTACCGTAAGTACGGAGTAGTGTAAGTGTGTATAGTAGGTAGGTAGCGGGAAGTCGGGTCAGGAATCGGTAGCGAACCGAGCACGCGAAGGCGCTAGGATGGCTTTCAACTGCGCTATGATTATGTAGTATGGGTAGTACCCTTGGCGAATTTATGAAAGAAGGCTTGAGAGAGAAAAAAAGGTATCCGTGCTGTCCGTTCATTGCGTCAGGGAATGTCTGCATATGGCGAGTTTTCCGGGGTGTTCTGTCGGGCGATGAGGGTGCATTAGTAAGTATCTACTGCACAGTACTTCTCATAAACGTACATACACGTATAGATTGTCCATGACAGATCCATGAGCATACATACTTAGACCGCCGCATCGTACTTACAGCAGTGACCCAGGTCCATAGTAAAATGTGCGTGTCGGTCCGGTCGCTCGCTTGAAAGGGCCCTTCGCACCGACTAGTCACTATCGTGGCTCCCCGTCGGACTTTTCATAAAACCCGACACCCCGCCATGGATCGCCCTTCTCTGCCTCTGTCTGCCCCTTCATATCAGGACTGTTGTTTTTCTTCCATATACTTTAAGTAATTAGTACCTACACAGTAGTTATGCCGAGCCTTCTCCCGTCTTCTCCGCATACCTAAGTGTGTGCAAATTCGTGTCTGTAAGTACGTACGTAGTATATACAAGTACGGGGAGATGGAGATGGAGATGGTCGACGTACGCCAAGAACAATACACTAAAATCCCGTCTAGTGACTTTTGTGTCTCCAGAGGTCTCTCCATCGGTTCCATGCTGTCGGAACTGCACGTGCAGGAACGGATGCTACCGATGCGAGTCATGATCCATCGTGCTCCTTTCTTTTTCCTCCTACTACTACATAGTATATGTACTTATACAGTAGGTAACCCAGATACTAGAAGACGCCATCTCCACAATGTCTACTAGTATCGACGAGATTGAGGACCGACATGCTAGTACAGAGTCTGCACAATTCATTCTTCATATCTATTCGTGTTCTATGCAAGTTGTGCACAAACTTTTACTTAGTATCTTGAGTAGCCTTGAGCCGATGATCTGAGACCATGTGGGGGGGTTTTACATCGAAATCTTTCAACATCTAAATCATCATCGACACATACTTAATACCTACCGTATCTATTTGTGTGGTGACACATGATCGTCAGCAAAACACAGCTACAAGCTGCCCATGTAACCAACCATACATCGACCATGCCGAGCACGCTATGATCACATGTGCTGACTTCATACCTACCTACCCTACCGCTAGGTAGTGAGAGAGTGGCTTGGCTAACGTGCTCGCATTCACTTTGCTTGCGATACTTACCTACGCACAATAATATCGGCAAGGCAGTCGAAGCAGGACTTGTTCGTTTTCATCTGCCAACGGGTTTTAAAGTAGGTACCTATCAGATCTCTTTTGTTCTGTTTTTATGCTCAGGCTTTCCGGATATAGGGTCCTCCGGTATGAAACCCTAGGCCCAGACATGACGCTATCCAGCGTTAGCGCACGCCACTTTCCTTTCTTTATTTCACCCAACCCACCAATGCCTGGACGTGGACACGTACATACACTTGGCATCTCCTGCTGCAGAGATCATTTATCCCCTTACTTAACTTCCAGCTCAACTCCGTGACACTTTTAATCGGGTCTTAAGTATCTTTTAACTTTGCTAACAGATCTACATGTAAAAGCTTAAAACTACTTAGCTTTTCCCGATGGTATATACGTATTTAGTGTAGCGATAGGTATTTTCGATACTAAAGCCACTATACTACGTAGTACATATGTTATATGCCTTAATTGGCTATGTCGAATTTTAGCAGCCTGCGGAGTTGAGCTGGAAGTTTAAGTCATATACACTAGTATTCTGTTAAATGTTCTTTCATCTCCTTTGCCATCAGGGGATCCATTTTATCGGGTTGTGTCAAATGTCCGGCACCCCGCCCTTTGAACAGATTGTACTCTTCAACAAGTCCTCGACTCATCTGGATGGGTTATTATCATCGGCCGACACCCCGCGCCGCTAGCCAGCACATCGCATCGCATTACATGGTACAATAGCGCGGCGTGTTGGTCTTAAAATCTCAATTCCAGATCCGGCGGATACTGTCATTCTACGTCCGCATGATAAGTAAATCCATGCAATGCGCCAGTTCTCTGCTGCTAGATGAAATAATCGCAATGTCTTAAAAGAGAATTGAGAGTAGCACCTTATCATCAAAATTTAAAGCAACGGTATAGACAAGTCTAAGTTTGTTTCAACTTCAAACAATATAAAGTTGATTTGTTCATCAGTGAAAGTGGCGGTATTTAGTGAGAAACTGGTGCAAGAGTGCACGTACACTGGGTATATATCCGGGTGAGACACACACAACTAGACTAAGCCGGGCTCACGTAAGCACGGACATCTTCATCGGCTCTTACATGTAATCAATCTGATACTGACATCTACCTATCCATGTATGTAGTCCCCGCGCGGTTCCCTTTCAACCGCAGTCAGCTCTATTCCGACAGTTGGCGAGGGTTCATAACACAAGACGAGGTTCAACGGTAGATGCCTACTATGTCACTTCTAGAACTCCGAATCAAGTCCGCTGCAAATAGCCCTGCTTGCGCTTCAAGTTTCTGCCTTATGAAGCATTCACAATCTGCCAGCAATCAACTAACGGTTTACTCCTATCACCTTGTATATCTCCTTTTTAGAAATTTTCGAAAGGGTGTATGAAATCCTTCTAAGATTATCCGTCATATATTCCCCTTAAGTTATACAAGTATCCTCCTCGGGGTTTTGTGGTTTTGAGTATGTAATGAGTGCACGGCGAGTCAATATTGCTGCTGCCGTCTTTCAGAACCGAAAGAGCTTTCGCGTGTTTATTTGCTCTTGCGAGGTGGATGGGCCGGAATCATATTTCCTCGCTTTCAGTTGGTATATAGATGTCGGCATCATAGGCCGGCCATCCATTCTTGCAGACACGCAGCATGATCACCGAGAGCAGCGAAATAAGCGGCCGGCAGTTCAGGCTCCTGTGGTTGTAGCGTTGGGGTTAACACCAGCTTCAAGTAGCACTTTGGCAATGTAAGCATGTCCTAAATGATATGCTGCATGTAAGATGTTCATGCCGTTACTATCTCCCTTCATCAGCAGAGACGCCGCAGCATCCTGCGTAAGATTCTCGACTTCCGGGGCTGATCCAACGCATACTGCATGTCAAAGAGCCCATCGAGATACTTCCATAGACAATCAAATTGGCGTTCGTATGACAAGAAGTTTTCTATTATGTATGTATTGGCTGGGAATTGAGTTGGCCCACTTGCAGCCAGCCGATGTAATGGTGTTTCTCCTGCAAAGTTACCAAGGGTCCAGAAAGGAGAACCGCGAAGGTTTTCGAGAATTTCCATAAATGGGAGTAGTTCTTTTACAGAAACCCAAGAAACGTGAGTCACAACGATGTAGAGGGGATTTTCCAACAACACGTTGCTCTTGCCATTGGACATGGACTCGTCCTTGTATGAAGATCCATGTTTCTCAATGGCGTAATCAATCAACCACTTCATTGCTACAAAGCCGCCAAACATACGTAGCGGCATGATGGACCGGGGTCCAGCCTTGGGTTGTTCTGGCGTGAAAAATTTTTCCCCTTATCAAGAAGTGCACGGATGGTTTCCGTATGCCCACCTACTACTGCTCAGTCGATGGGTTGAAACCCGCCAAACTTGTTCAAAAGATCTCCGGATTGAATAAGTCAGGGGTAGCAGGTGAACAAGTGACACATTGAAGGTGATAGTGTGCTAAATCCTAATCCTCTAGGCTTTGCCCGCCTTTACAGGCGCGTAGCAGTTCCGTGTCCTTTTCTCCAGCTCCATATATTGCATCGAGACTTCGCAGATCCTCAGCTGGAGGATAGGTCCAATGTATACGGATCTTTGATCGCCGTTCGCTTACGGAGGCTAGATTTTCAGGACCAATATAGTAATCGAGAGAGTTCGGGATTGATAAATCTCCAAATAAATCTTCAATTCGTAGTGGTGTTTACGTCAGGCTAAGTCAGTAGTGAGTCTAGGATGGGATTCAATTCCTCTGAGCTGGATTCCCGAAACCGGATTTGGGATACCAGCGGCACTCAGTTTACGGACATGTCTGGTTCCATCCCAACTGAACTCGTACGAACCATCATCGAGCCGATCTGGCACTGCAGGAGACCCCTGTTCCGGGTCTGAAAACTCCACAGCCGGGGAGTTGTAAATAGTAGATTTTGTAGAGGCCTTGACGAAATTATATATTCTTCCGTAAACTTTCATCCCTCGAACTTGAATCTGGATGTCTTGGCCCTCTCCTTTTTCTTTCCATGGGTTTGCTAACCAATCTGATGACTGCGCTGCTTGCTTCTGGCTTTTCGAAGCCAAGTATTCGTTCGCAGATAGTGCTGTCTGGTGAAGGGGTTTCCCAGTGGACAGCCGTTGCAAGTGCCATGCAAACCAGGAGCCTCCATTTATTCTCCTCAAACCAACAGCAAAATCCACGGTAGCATTGTATGAGGGAGCGAAGAATCTAAATAACCCAATGATACGATTGGAAGGAGACGGGACTGTAAGAAGGATGGCAGCCTCTCCGTCCCAGTATTTCTCCGGCCATACTCCAATAACGTGACATAGTGGACAAGAGTCTGATCCCTCTGACTCTGAGAACTAGCAGATATTACTGAAAGATACCATAAAATCAGGAACCATGTAAACAGGTTTCTGCTTCACAAATACTGTTTCATACGAGCCGTTGCCCTCGCTTAACTCGGAAAAAGGAGTCATCACGGAGTTGACGAGCTGAGGGTCAACCCGGCCGAATTGGTCACCGTAAAGCCGCCTCATACGAATCGCTGGACTCTGGTATGCCTCATCGCTGCGTCGTAACGCGCACTCCAGAATAGCATAGTAGTCATCCTGGCTTTCACTATCACGTGAATCATAACAAGGGAGTAGGAAGAGGGATAATCGCAAACCCTGGTTCGTCGTGCTCCATGTGGCGCTCCCCCGAGAAGCTGATGGGGGCATTGGCCGGTAATTGCCCACGTCGGCGAAGTATTGAGATGTTTCAGCAAGAAGTCCAGTGAGAGCCTCATTGGAACCTGTTTCTGGCGCCTTCCATGCGAACATGGAGTGATCACTCGAACTCTTCAGAATTTCTTCTTGCAGTCTTATAAAAGTTTTTGTGCCCTCTCCGTATATCAAGGGCATGTTGACGTCGAAAAGTCCCATTAAACAGTAGGCGGCGTCCTCTATTCGAGTTGTCTCTCGCTGCGACGCCCATTTCATCCGCGAAGCGATGCTTATCTCACTGGGCTGGATAATTCCTTCAAGCACTCTGACGTCGATCCCAGTGATTTGCGCAAGTGAAACGCGTATGTACCCGTCATGCGCTTTGCTCCCTAAGTATCCCCCCAGTCCGCCCCATAGAACATGACATCTTCTGGTGCAATGAGCTCTTGCAAAGTCCAACCCCGAGTAAACCAGCGGCTATTCCGACAGAGTAAAGAGAAAAGGCCCCCTTTCCTATCATGATAGCCATGTTTGACATCCTCCATGTAAGCATAGCAAATTGATGCCTGCCTATACCACCTGAACATTGAATTGATAGCTTCAGATAGCTCGGCGCTGCTGGTTTTGTCTATGCAACATGTATCTACCCATACATGATTGTATCCGTGATCAGCCGCTATAGCCGCCGCTCTACGAATCTTGATAAAGCCCTTTTTCTTTTGAATTGTCATTGCAGTTTGAGAGACTGCTCGAGACCATTCTCTACGGCTCAACTCTTGGATATCCTGAAATGTTATTTCTTCCTTGCCCCAAGTATGGGACAAGATCGCATATCTTGGTGCTGATTCTTCGGGAACTTGTACCAGTTTCGGTCTGTCGAGTTTGTCGGTATTAAGCAACCACATGATTATATATACCTCCCAGTCTGATTGAATGTCGTACCAAATTACTTGAAGGCTAGGTAGGCTGAAATATGACCAGAATGGAAGGTTGAAAACAGCAAAGGGTAAAATGTAACGAAGAGATAAAGTACTCCTACAGCCTCGCCCCCAATAAGTCAGCATTCTCGCAGCTACATCTCACATAGAGGGCGGGGTCAGAGGCTAAGTCTAAAACGTATAATTCGCGCTGGATAAACGTTGACGCACGAGTGAACATTGAACATTGCCCAACTACGCTACACTATAATGCTTATTGGCTTAAATAGCGTTGCTTAGGTAGTATATTTAGGCAGCCCCCCTTGTTTCTATACCTGTGAGACGCAATGCTTACCTGAACCTATCTGACATGGATTCCCCAACTGCAAGAGCTACGAGGTGCCTATGCAGTTAATATATTGTTCTCTTGTTATAACGGGAAATGGACAGGCGATTCCCCTTTCGGGGCCTAGGTTTGTATTCATTGACATCCTTAACTATCTGATTGGTTTCCTTGGGGTAGGTCGGCCATATGGCTTTTCAAGTTCGAGCCATGGTTGAGAACATCGCAGTAACTACACCTCGGTCTTTGGCCATGATACTAATCTCCCAGGGGTATGGAAAGTAAGAAGGATATAGATATCCAAATATTGATTAATCCTTCGTTGGGGTTGTCAGCTTCGGTCAAAAATTTCACGCCTGATGGGAAAGCCTTGGTCTGGGGGGTGGTACATAGTCTCCTCTAAGCGTGTGAAGCTAACAAGGTTGCTGATTGGTTTTGGTGGAAGTAGCAAATGCCACAATCAACCCCCAAAAAAGCCAAGTTGATTCTCATACTACTGCTAGGGTAGATGATAGCGAGCCGAAGCTTCGATATTTAATTTCTTCAATAACGGTAGGGGTGTGTCTGTCGACAAGATCTAAGACTGAGGCTTCAATAGCAGCCCCAGGATACACGATTAGCCCTTCTGTAGTTATAGTGGATAAGCGCTAGAGCTATAGTGGGCTTGGTGGCTCACCGTCGAGGACAGCATTGCCGATAATGGTAAGTACATTTTACATTCAATTCATCACAACCTCCACGTCTCAAATCCGCCTGGCAATGGATAATATAACATATCTCACCCCAAGTCAGCTCGAAGCATATGCATATCGAAAGCAGAGAATTGTCGACTACATTTTGGACGATGCCAATCTTGAAACTCGGTGTCCTCTTGACAATGGACGACATCTCATTCCACCACAGGATTCGTTGGGGCAACTAGACATGCTTCCCCTGGAACTTCTTACATGCATACTTATGGTACTTGATCTACCGTCGTTGACCATCTTTCGCCGCGTGAATCGCCGCGCAATGGGTGTCGTTGATTCACTGCATCAGTACCAAATGGTGTTGAAGCATTGTCCCAATGTTCTCCGTGCCATCATCAGCATCGACGCTCGCTACTTTGATTGCCAAACTCTATACAGGACACTCTCTACCACCAAGTGCGAAGCCTGCGATCGCTTCGGCAGCTATCTTTACCTCATCACCTGCAAACGCGTATGCTACTTTTGCTTCACGGGGCATCCCGATTATTTTCCCGTGTCAGCTACACGTGCGGCCAAGTATCTCAGCCTCCCAAGGAAAGACATCAAGCACCTGCCCCATATCCTCAGCCTCCCTGGAAAGTACACCACATTCTGCAAGTTGTCAAGAAATAGAATTACGTTATTTGACCGGCAAGCTATACTTAAGAGTGCATTGAAGACTTCCACTTTAACAACTGATGCCAGTATCCGACAGCAAGACCTAACCACGAGAGAGCCTCTAAGACATATGTCAATCATTTCTGCTCCCTGCTTCGGCTCTTCGGGTCTGTCAGCTGATTGGGGCTTCTATTGCACTGGCTGCAGAGAAAGTAAGGAGCTCGGGAAGAATCTCAGGAATAAGTACACAGCAAATGGCATCGTTGATCACATCCGACGGTATGGAGCAGTAACGGTGGTGGACCAGCACCCGAAACATGTATAATACTACGCTAAGTCGTGCTTCAACTTCTTACAATTTCCACCTCAACCCCTGACAACCTGAACCTTATCCTTCCCTTTCCGCCTAAACATCAGCAGAAACAGCGATGCGCAGATGAAATGGCAGTACCAGGGCCTCTGACTGTTCATACGTCCTGTGTGGCCTTGGAAGCTAAATGAGCGCCATCCTCTTCAGCGGCGGCTCATCTCATCCTTGCCTGGCTTCACCATGTGTCTCTTGCACATGTGAAGCCTATGGAATTGCAGTGTTAAATGTGTTGGTGAAGCATGTGCCTCGATTCGAGGCCCAGCCTTTAGTACCCGGCCAGGAAGTAATTATCTGGTGATTCAACAGCTCCCGAAGAATAGCTGCCCTTGACAATTACAAAACACTTACGCAGCATATCACACGCCATTTCTCCCTTCCATCCTCCTACTCTATCAGGTCTGCTCGCCTAGGTATCCAGTTGGTAAGTCTGCCACCTACGCCGCCTAACTCCGAGGCGGGATGAGTTGGCTGAGCAGCCAGCTGACGAACTAGTGGATCCGGTAGGAGTGGGAGATAGGTATGAATGTAGGCGAAATGGCTGTACACTGTAGGTTTCTGGGTTGTTAGTTGAACGTTCGGCAATCCCATAAAGTTTCAGGTACTGAAATAGGTCTTTATGGAAAGGCGCATTGCAATCGAACCCTTGGCAAGGGGGTCCATGAGCCGAATACCCTGATACTAGGTAACCTAGACGTTGCGCAGGCCATCCACCAACATGCTAATATATTTGACTAAGTATAGATAGACATGTGAATACTTAGAAGTTTAGATACATATGTTTACGCGCGCGCGTGCTTACCCCACTGAGGGCGCGGCGGATACCTTCCAACTGATCTAACATCACATTTACGCCACAAAACCACACTGTTTGTACCAAATACGTTTCTATCTCGTCTTCATACTTAATGTCCTCAACTTACATGAGAACTTCGATCTTCTCACAAAAGTCACACCCTCGTTCATTCCCTGTCTATCCATTTCCACCTAATTTATAGAGCTACGAGCTACAGTTTAGTAGCTTTCTCTTGAGACTAGGAGAGCTTGTTATGGACCATTCTTTCGATATTAGTCACCATGATGGCAACCGAAACGAATAGCAACGTTCGTCTCTTAGCAGCCCTTGTTGACTCCAATGATGAAGAGGAGAGCGAATATCGCTTTTTGGTCGATCAGAAGCATGTCAAGTATGTTACCGTCGACCCAGCTGTATTTCCAAAGAACGATCGAACCTTTGCACCCGTACTCATTCCTATGCTACCACCTTTCCCCCCTGGTAACTGGAACGAGGGTCACATCTCTAAGGATCCAGTTACACGGCGCCCAGTTTTCTCTCGTGTCACTCATAGCGACCTCCCTGGAATCCGAAATACCTGGCACGACAGGCGGATCGACCATCTCGATCTAACAAAGCTGAATCGAGTGCGACAAAACATCCACCACGTTACATGCCCAGCTTTCGACTTTCCGGTCCTCGTTAAGTTTGCCGAGTTCCCTTGGCAGATGCCGTTCTTTGAGGCTGAAACCACCGCATACGAATGGATTGAGGGTAAAGGGATTGGTCCCAAATTCCTTGGCCACTTAACAGAGGCCGGCAGGGTCTTCGGATTCGTCTTGGAAAACATCGACGGCGCAAGGACGGCGGAACCCCAAGATTTGGCAGCCTGTCAACGCGTTCTAGCGAAGCTACACGCGCTTGGAATAAAGCATGGCGACATTAATAAGCATAACTTCCTCGTGAGGAACGGAGAGGCGGTCCTTGTTGACTTTGAGACGGCGCAGAAATGCAGTGAGAAAGCGGAGCTTGAGTCAGAGTTTAAACACTTGGAGTTGTCGTTAAGAGATCCTTCTCGCAGAGGTGGGGTAGGAATCGGGGTGGTAAGCGATCGTATTCCTAGCTAGCTGACTTCCCCTTGAGTACCGAGTAGATAAACATTGACACGCTGCTTTATTTATTCATTAAAACTTTTTTTTTTTTTTTTTAAAGAAAGAAAAAACAAATTATTTTCCGTTTAAGCTCTTTATACCAACATGCTTCCAAAAAGTTAGCGTTCTATTGTCACATATTTATTGCATTATTAACATGCTAGAATGCATCCACACCCATATTAGCAATGACGTAAGGTTGATCTCGTTCACTACCCTCGTAGCGGATAACCCACCCC